CCTGTTAATTTAGGAGCTGGTTTATTGAAGGAGGGGGAGCAAAACAAATGCCGGTTTATAAATATATTTTCTGTATCTATTAATTAATATTTTTGCTCATGTCTTATATAAATAGACTTGTACTTTGTGCTGTGTTCTGGTGAAGGGTTATATCTAGAAGAAGATGAAAGCTGCATTGGTGTTTCAAATAAAAACAGAGCTTAATGTCCGAATTCCTCTGTTAATGTTGGCTCATGGTGAGGGTCAACCTGTGGGCCGTGGAGCAAGCCCCTTGCTCTGTGCAGATGTTATTCTGTGCCCACACAAAGCAGCTTAGGGAGCACAGCCTGATTTTTATTTTATTTTTCCTTAATTTTTTTTGTTTTTTTTTTTTTTGGTGGGAGGCTGAGAATAAAGCACTGCAAACCAGACTGTGCAGACACAGCTCCTCTGCTTTTTTTGACTTGCTTGCTGAATTTGGTAGATCCCTCCTGGTTTGCTTTCCTAAAGCTGGTGGCAGAGGGACAGCTATTGACACCACCACGCTTGTTTTTAGGACTGTTGCATTTTAGTCCCGGTACAATAGATCTCACCAACTGGTCTGTCACCCCTGAGGAGCTGCAGTAGGTCCGCGATGCCTGGGAGTTGCAGTGTTCGTGCAATTGAGGAAAACAAATTACCACCTTATTAGAAGAGTGTTTGGACCTCACCACTGCAGACATGTGGCAGCACAAACTTGAATGAGGTACTGGAGCCAGAGCTCTGCACTGAGGCTGTGCCAGTATGCCTGGTTCCCGGATCCCAGCTGAATCTGCAGGGCCGGTTAAATTTTGCTATGAGGAGAATGCAAAAGTAATTTCTAGTGGATTAATTCCATACAGGCTGCTTCTTCGACAGGCTGTAAGTGATGTGTCCAGTTTAAAACAAATGGAAAAAAACCCAGTGACCCAGGAGCAGTGAATGCTGGGCAGGACGTGTGCGTACGCGCAGGTTCATTGCTGCACCACTCCTCATCTCGGGCGATTTGGGTGGTGGGCTGTAATATTTTCATGTGCGTCCCATGGCAGGTTATGTGTGCAGACAGGAAATTCCCTGGAAGCGAATCGGGATCTTTCCAGCCTTAAGCTCTGTCTCAGTCACATCCAGACAAGACTGCAGGTCTATGAACTGCGTGCTCTTGCGCACCAGCACGCTTGGGAGTGGGAATCAGATGCAGACACTTAGCATGTAGCACCTTGTAAAACTTCTTGCTCTGTTTGTTCTTACTCTTTTGGCTTGAACAAAAGGTGAAGTGCAGGCAACGTAGTTTGCACATGGCCCTCCAAGTGCCCTGCGACCTTCCGTGGAGTTGTGTCCTCTGCACATGGGTTGTACAACACCCTGCCAGCCCTGCCTGCACCAGAAGGCCCTGGTGTGGGCAAGGCTCTTGCCACCGTTTTAAGCATTTCGTAAACTAGCCTGCTGTGCTCCCTATAACGCTTCAAAGTGCATTGGCAACTGGTAGCCTATCAGTGACTCGCCGCCTGGACCTGGCTTTCATTGGCATTGGGAAGAAGTTTCAACAGCATTGCTGACGTGTCCCTGCTTTTATCAGGAGCTGGTGCTGGTTTCCTTCCAACAAGATGCAGTGTCTGGTGGGGCAAACGGATGGAGGAGTAAGGGAAGCTGATTTAGTAACCAAACAGGCAGAGCGTCACGTGTATGGTGAAATCTCAGCTCAGTACACACGTGGGCAGTTCCTGGTGGCTTACCTGTAAACTGGTAGAAAGTTGGGGGGAAGGGGAGGCTCGTCTTTTCTGGGTTAGTCTTATCATCTCAATTAGCACCCATCCTAATTGTGATGAATGTAGCATCAACCACACGCTCAAATACAAGTACCTAGGATCCTTGTTTACGGGAGGGAGGGTGGTGGAAGGGGACAGCGTTAGGGACTTGCTATTGGAAGTGGCACAGCATCTTGCAAACTAACAGCTGCATTTACTTGTTTCCTTCTCCTTCTTTCAAGTCTTCTTTTGACAATTTATTCTTAAAGAAAATTTAACTACCACTTCATAGCTTGTGAACTGCTTGGCATTTGCTAAAGGGATATTAGGGCTGTCTCAGGGCAACAATGTAGTCTAAGCAGCACCATTGCTGATCTCCTTCTGAATCTGTGATTTTGCGGATGATATTTTTTTATTGTTGGCTTTTTCTCTTTATTTTTATCTGAACCTTTTTATTGACACCTTTCCTTCATCATGGCTATCCTCAACTCCCCCAAGTTTTACCTGGAGAACAGAACCTAACATACTGAACTTAAGCTAAACACCAAAAGTCTTCCTTCTCTTGCAACCATTTTTGAAGGGCTCCGCCAGATCATTTGTCTGAAAACCACAGCTGTACATCTGTCTTTTCCATATAAATATAGATACATCTTTTTAGTCCTGGCCTGTACCTTATCTTTTACTGAAGTAATAAAAGGCTCTGTTTTAAAATGGAGGTAGTGCTTGGGCTGCTGGTTTGTGTGTAGACCCACTCTTATGGGTTTTTTCCTTGCCTCAGGTTGCGTGAAGAGCAGGAGAAGATGGGTATTCTTGCAATACGCTGTGCTGTAGACAGTGAAGGAGAGAATAAACAATATTTAGAGAAAGTGAAAACAAACCCAACAACAAACTAAACCATCATGCTTGCAATAGGGTATTTAGCCTGTTCTGTAGGTGGAGCAACTGTCAGGTAAATGTCAAAACTCTCAGTTTTGGTTCCTGGATAGGGCCTGATAGTTGAGGCATTAGTCAGCCTTCCTGCACCTCCTGAAGTGTGTGGCTGGTGGCCGTGTTTGCACACATCGATGAGGTTTCTGCATCCCAAAGAGCTCTGCAAAGAGGCAGGCGTTCGCCGCCGCTCTGGTAGCTGGCATAACCAGGGCAGGCAGCTGTGTCCCTCCGGAGCTGCTCCAGAGCTGGTCTGGCTGGAGACATCCCAGGCAAACACCAGGGTCACCCTTCATGAGCCAGAGGTGCCTTGTAGGTGGACTGCACGCAGAAGGACCTCTGGGTGCTCGCTGTATCCTCTCTTAACCCAGCAAAATACTTTGTGCAGGCCGAATTTCTTGGCCAGTGGTTCTCCTGTGGGTGCAGTGGTCACCACGCATGCTCACCAGAGCTCTGCTACAGCAGGCAGGTGGGAATTGGCTAGTTACAGTGATCATGTTCATCTCGTGTATAATTGTCAAAAATGTCAGGGAGGTCCTGCCATAGGGCTGAGTCTAGGCCAGCCTGTATTTCCTCTCTCTTCCAGAGCTCCCTGCAAACAGTGTCTTTGTGCCTTTGACAGGCCGGTTGGGGGTGTTTGGGGAGAGTGGTTCCTCCTGAACTTAGATTTTCTGTGTGTTTTTGTAAAGGTTGGTGGGTTTGCCATAGTGTTTGTCACTTTTCATGGAGAAAAGGTTTGAGTTATCTCTGTGTGTGTGTAGGAGTAGAAAATAAAAACAATATTCTCTTATTATGGTCACATGGCAAAGGCAGTAAATCACCAGCAAGCCCAGCCCACCTTGACCTATTAATGTAACATAGAATATGTGTAAAACAGTTTCAGTGTTGCTGCATTGGTCAGGAGCATGGCACAGTAGGAACACATACATTACCTGATTGTGGCTCACTTGATGCCAGAAGTTAAAAAGAATTAAATTCACAGGCTCTTCAGAAACATTTGCCAGGTAATGGTTGACATAGCTGATGTCTTGGTAACAATACTGGGATGCTTTCCAGGGAAAATGGATTAACATCAGCGCTGAACTTTGTACGCATTTGAGTTTTCTTCTACCTGCAGAGAGGCAGGATCAGGAGCTGCGCTGGGCTGAAATAAATTGCTTGTGGATTTGTTCGTTGGTTATTTCTTTGTGTGAGCTTTGCTTTCTCCCCCCCCCCGTGGCTGGAGAGATGCTTTCGTCATCAGTAACACCTAGGTATGCCGCAGCAACCAGCTGCGTGTGCGGGGATAGGCAGAACGGCTTGCCACTGGGCAGGTCGTGTGTTTGTGCAGGAAGAATTTCTCACCCTGGGATGTCTCTGCTCACTCGATGGACTGTGCACGTACACCTCCATGATGCCCAGATGCAGGCAGTGGTTACAGCGTGTTACAGGACAGCTGCTTTGATGCAATCTGCCAGCTGTAAAAGCTACCACTACCTCTGTATCTTTTGATCCTTGCATACTGGTGATGTTTTCAGTTGGACAAAACTAAAGGTCTAGGAAGTTGCTGTTTTTGAAGTGGTGACAATAACTTCATTTTAAGAATACTTCTAATCTAAGCTGTGCAAATAAATAAGATTAATATTTCCAGCAGAATCAATTAACAAAAGAATCTCCAAGAAGTTAGGGCTGCCTTCTAAAGGAAAAAACCTGAGGCATCAGTTGTGGGGGGAGAAAAAATAATCTCAAATCATAGTAGATTGGAAGAGAATAGCATACTGATGTGGTCAGTTGCAGGGACTGTGATTTTATTACTGTTTTTCGGTTTGTAAGAATGAGAATAATTAAGAGAATGCCTCTTTTTTTTTGCCGTTAAGATGTCAACAGCAATAGCAGTGGTTAGCTTCTGATTTTTCTTTCTGCTTCTCCGTGGGCTTGAAAACTGGCTTTTTGGGTGCTTTTTACTCTTACCTGCTGCCATTTAGATCTTCTAACACTTTCTGCCCCCTCATAATTTTTCTTCACAGATAAAAATCTTGTGGGCTGTTTTTATTACTAACCGGCTCATTTTTTTTATGTCCAATTCTGTCTCTGAATCTATTGAATGTTAATAAATGCAAATTTATTATAATTCCCCCCCAAACCCACGGTTTACTCATGGAAATTAAGTTGATATCTTGAAGTATCTAAGGGATGTAAAAGTGAAGCAATTTAACAGTGAAGCTGTTTCATAATCCATGTAAATACATGTTTTGGAGAGCTCTTCTGCAACTTACGCAGTTGTTGGCTTTTAAATATCCTAAATCTTGGTATCTATACTTTTCTCTAATATTTCTTTTTTCTTTTTAATAGGTCATCACACAATGAACTAGAAAAACATAGGTAAGTCTTGACAAAAAAGCAAGTTAAAAGATGTATGGCTGACATTAGAATTACCATTTTTATTGAAGAATATTTTGTTGAAATTGTTCTGATTCTGCACTGAATTGTTTATTAAGTTGGGTTTTTTTCATCAACTAATATCTAATAGGTATAATATTATTTGGCTTTTTTTCTCTTTTTTGGTATGCTATTTTTGAAACACCCTTGATAATTAGCTTTAGACTGATTAATGCTGTAACTGGTTAACCATACTGTTACTAATAAAGAATCTGATTACAGCAACTGTTTGCTAGAGGTGTTAAATGCTATAAGTACATGCAAAGTAATTTGTGATTAAGGTGCATGATTTTCGGGGGACAATATGTCACACGGGGTTATTCTATGTTGTTTTTTTTTTTTAAAGTATGCCTAAAGTGCAGTTAATTTTCATCTTGCATGTAAGTACCTACAGATACGTTTTTCCCCTCCGTCTGCTTCCTTGCTGGTATGTGTCCTGTCCAAAGAGCTGTGCGTGGGCTAGAAATCAGCAACTCCTGAGCTGCAGCCCTGGTTCTGTGTATCCAGCGCTGTGAAAAGCTGTACTTACTTACCAAGGACGTTCATTAGATCCTGAAGACCCGATTTTTAAAGAATTCATGTTTGCACAGTTTTGGAGGCAGTGTTTACCGTGTATTGTATCTTGTCAGAGTTTGTTTGCAGATGGGTTTTTTAGCCGTAGGAAGTCTCCTGGGGTCTGAAAGGTGCATGCAGAGAGCCGCTGGGTGCAAAAGGTGCCCATCTTCGCATTGGCTTTCGGTTCCCCGGCTGAGCAGCGCCGTGGCACCCTCGCTGCAGGATCGCTGCCTTTCACTTATCATTCAGGCAGCAGGACAGACTCTCTTTCGGGTAGTTTTTTTTGTTCTTTTTCATGTAGCTTGTGGTCTTTCAGGTTTCATGCATCCAGAGAAAGCGAAAGGTGTATGCGTGAATATGACTTAAAATCTCTTTGCATGCTTCTAAATACGTGAAACGTGGTTGATGGCACAACAAGATTGAACTCACAGGGTTGGGTTTTTTTGTGTGTTGTTCTGTGGCCGCAGTTATGTAGCAGCTAGACCATCACTTCCCTTGCATGCCTACATGCTTTCCTGTAGTTTAATTGTAATATGAGTAAACTATAGCCCTGCCTAATAGCCACGTGGTCATCCTAGAGATGAGAGGAACTGGGGAAGGCTCAAGCTCACAAACGCAGGCTTGGGCTGCAGAATGCAGTGCATTGGCTAAGGCAGTGAAATCAGCTGGCAGAAGTTCTGCCGACGGGAGTCTTCAGGAAAATAACTTAATGCAAAATTCTGTCCTTTGGTCACACTTATTTAAGAAAAAAAATAAAAATCTTTGGCCTCAACTGTGCTTCTTTCTCACTCATTTTTTTCCATCCTCTTTCCAGATACTCTCTTACATTTCTTCCTTTTCCCCTGCTCCATCATTATGGACTTGTCATCATCTAAACTGCATATTCCTATTTTCTTTTTTCTTCCAGCCATTTTTATATCCTGAGCATGGAGTTGCCTCTTCTTCCCCCTGCTCTGCCTTAACATGTTTAAGCAGCACAGTAAATGAGGCACAGCAGCATTTACAGCAGATGCAGGGACAGAAGAAGGATCTATTAATTGTTCAATCTCTGTTCTCACTTTCGGTTCTGTGTTGTATCTTTGTAGTAGCTGGACCATATAGTGTTTGCCTTGCTAGCTTTTCTTTTTCTACCATCTCAAGGTCAAAATAGGTAAACTGCAAGGTATGTCTTGTGATTATACAACCAGTATTTGTAACCACTGCTGCTTGCTGTACCTCCTACAGTTACACTATACTTGAAGCCAGATTTTATTATTCCTGGCGAGAACCTGCAAATTAGTGCAAGATCCTTGTGTGTGCAAACAGGTGTTCACAAAAGCAGATCAGGTATGCACAATTGTAGTTACCTAACGTATTGGTGCGAAGGACTCTTGTAATTTTGATTTATTTTTTTTTTTAGCCCCCTCCTCTAGCACTGTGGGTGTATGAGCTGATAATACTGACCATACTGGTTTTCACTGTTTTTACTAAAATGGCATTCAAATCCATTGAGCGTCTTGTAAAGTTTAATGCAAGATTCACAGCCACAGTGAGTCCCCGTAGCAGCTGGTCCTTGTAGCAGAGCCCGTCCTCTTCCCCCGGCACAGCCCTGCCCTGCTGGCTTTGGAGCACTGGATGTTGATTTTGGAGGTGTCTCCTCTCCAGGACCAGCGCCTTTGACTCACCGCTGCCATGATGCTTCTGGCTGAGACACACTTGGTTATCTCACAGGGGCCTGTCAAGGAGGGAGAGAGGAGATGGTTGCCTCATATCCTCCTCCTCGCCCAGTCCCTCACGTGGTGTCTGTGGGCTGGACCGAGCGCTGGAGGGCAGGGAAATGGCTTCCTCATTTACAGGGCCTTTGGTTGCCGGATGAGGGTGGCCAGAGCTGCCATGAACCAGAAAGCCGCAGTAGCCGTGTAGTGGTACATGGTGCTGTTCAGGTTCTGCATTGGTGCTGCACATAAGAGGTTTTATCTCTGGTTTTGACGTCAGTGGGAATGACAGTGGTTGATCTCTCTCTGTGTGTGCAGACTCGGAGGTTTGGCACCACTACTTTAATTTGCACTTTCTGCTGCTGGGTCTCTTTTCTGTATGCTCTTGAGGGGATGCTCGAAGGAAGACAAATGCAAGCAGAGACATAATTCCAACAAAAAACTCTTTGTTACATGATAGAATTCAGACTACAATTATGGTAAAGTGTTTGTTATTAATTCATAAAATTCCTTTTTCTCTGCTTTAAGTCTCCCTAGAACACCCGGCTCAGAACTGCGTGTGTTCATTATAGTGAAACCGTAAGGACTCATCCCTCTAATGGCAGTCCTGTTTTGGTGCTCTGTGATTAAGGTTTGCATCTCAGAGCCATGAAATGGGAAACCCCCTAAATAAAAAGGAGGAAGGCAGGAAATCTTCTATCCTGAGGACAGATGAGGTTCTAGAAGATACTTTAATAGTTACAGATAGTCAACCAGAACGGCACACAGGTGTAACTAGTTCCTAATGGCAAATACATACATGTGTATTCAGATATATATTTTTTGTTATTGTTTCCAGCCAGAGCGTTGTATCAGTAGGCTTTCACAGACCGATGTAAATACCAAGTACATTGGCAATCAAGACTTTTTCTAAGGCAGTTTTTAAATTGACCTAGCCTGACAGCTGTACAGAGGAATTAACCTTTCAACCCAAGATTCCGTAAGACACAGCATAATCTCAGTTATTTGCATCAGTTTTACTATTTCTGCATTATAATGTAAAACCCAAGGTATATCCATCCACCTGAAGATTGTACTGAGATCTTCACGCTGCTCTGTGAAGGCAGTGAGTCATCTGCCCTCTGCTATTCATGTGTGGACTTGTTCCCCCAGCTTGCGCAGGGCTGCAGGAGGAAGCAACACCTCCTGCCGTGGTCCATCCTTTCTTGTCGAGAGCAGATGGAGTCCTGATGAGGGATACCAGGACCGACCCATCAGGGCTGCTTCGGTGAGAAAGTCATTTCACTCCTGCCTGCCTGTGAGGAGCTCTGCTGCAGGAGTTGTTCAAGATTTTGTGGTTTCTATGGCCAAGTCTTTGAAAACAGCTTGTGAAACTGAATGATCTTAAAGAACAGCTTTTAAGAATTAGTGGGGAAATTAATGAAAGTGTGCCTTGAAATTGGCAAGCCACATGCTGCTGTCCCCAAGCTGGCACTGTGTGAGCTGAACGAGTGCCTTGGCTGGGTGACCATGGTATGGCTTGATCTAGATGGACGGTTATCTCCCGCTTCTGCCAAACCGTTTGTATTATTCTCTGTGGGGGGGTTGTTGGGTTTTCTTTTTTTCCTCAAGAAGGAGGGAAGGGGCAGATCAGCAGGGGTAGAAGTTGCCCCGCCTGCATTCCACAAAACAGTAAACTCCTGGCAAGCAGTGGGAGCATAATTAGAAGAGGGAGCGGATTAATGCCTTTGGGCAGGACAGACCAGTGATCTTAAGCACGGCAGCGCTCAGCAGCGCAGCACCTGAGTTGCAAGTGCTCTCCTGCTTGGAGCAATCGGCAGATCCCGTCCCAGGTCCCTAGGCAAAATGCAATGTCCCTAGTTTGACAAAAGCTGGCGAGCTGAGCCGGGCGGAGGTAAAAACCAGGCATGGCTGTTGGGAGAGGTGTGCTCTAGGGTCATTCCTTGCTTTCCTATGGAAGTTGCTCTGAGAAGAAGTGCACAAGTGTTTAGCTCAGTCACTGTGTGCTGGGTGGGACAGGGAGCAGTTGTCTCTTGTTCAGGGCTCACTATTTTTTGTTGCAGTGAGCTGAGACTGCTGTGGAGACAGCTTGGATCAGCTGAGTGGGACAGCCCTGTGTTTTCACAAGTGCAAGACCAGGATGGGGAATACATGAGACGCAGTGACTTGCAAAACCTTTTAGTAGAAGAAAACAAACCTTACCTTCTTCCCAAGTGAGCCTAATGGTTTGTGGTGCTGATCAGGTAGAGACGTGCAGAAGGCAATGTAGTCCTGAGTTTAGGGTAGTGCTTTGTCAGTTCTTTAAACCTAAAATCTTGCCAGAAAAAAGTATGAAGTAGATATCTGTATATACGTGCAGGTTTTGATGAAAAATATGTATTTTTTTTTATGGGAACGTTATGACGTACAATATTGCTGATAAAGTAAATAAATAGAGTAGGTGCCTCTGAAGTTAAGTTCTAATAGTCAGTTTTCTCATAAAAGAAATGCAGATGAGCTTGCCAGGAGGACAGTTATGTTCATTGGTACATTAATTTCACCCACCATGGTTACTTGGATTTTAAAGTTTGTTTAAGCTGAGAGAGCGCATAGATGGATGTCTTGAAATTCTGTCTGTGGTTCTTCATGTTACTAAATTGCAGGGTTAATGAAAAGCATGTAATCGCCAGTTGCTGATAAACTTGGAAGTTTTGA